TTACTACTACAGTTCTATATATTGGTGTCCATTTTCACTTTTTAACTACACTAATACACTTAACATTTAAACACAAAGTACTTTCGAGTCCGGTTACATTGCGTACCCAGGGTAGCGGAGATTCTCTCAAACGCTACCTGGTCGCCAACATCTCCCGGCTCCATCCTGTAGGACACCAACCGCTCCCGGCAGGTCCACATCTGGCTGCATCGACACCCGGCAGCCAGCAAAAATATTCACATTTTGTTTTTTTTTTAGGGCACAATGCACTTTTTTAAACCACTTCACTTAAATTACTTAATTGTTTTTAACAAATGCAAATATCCAACATTGTACTCGTGCTCAGCGCTGCCCGCGTGGCAGCACTGGCAGGGTCGCCATGCAATGTGGAGCAATGAGGGAGACGTGTTGTTCTTAGAAATAACTTTAATTAAGTGTCTAATAACTAACTTACACTACTACTTATAGGGCGAGGTGTCACACACACTACAAAACTAAAGCAATCGTTAACCTATTTGGCTAAATTAGACAAGATGATGAGATAATGGTAAAGGAATGAAACAATGCTATTTTTGTTGGTAACAGTTTGCTTCGAAGCTGTTCTAATATAGGAAGGAGGATAACATACATAAACTTCCTTATTCACATATGGAGCGCTCCCGAAACGCTAACAAAAAGAAATTGTATTACAATTTTAATAGTTTTTGTTTTCGTGTTATTCATATTACATAAGCATTGAGCAGTTGACTATAACTATGATTACATAAAGAAAACACTTGGGCCAATTCAGAGAAAAATTTAATGAAAACATATTATTTAACTCGTCGAGTACCGTCATTATAGACACAATTATAGAACAATAGGTTGCGGTCACCGGTGACCGCTTGGTGTTTGACAGTTTAAACAATTACAATACCGGATGACAGAACACAAGACGACAAAAGAAAGTGCCATAGTAAAATTATAAAGGTGTGACTATATCTATGGTTATTTAGAACCTAAAGCTTCCTTTTAAACCTTTCATCAGCAAATATGACTTATTTTTTACCATCACCACCATTTGTGATACCACAGTAAAACAGACGTGAAACAACGCTTGCGTTGTGTTTCGTCGTGTGAGTGAGGTTACCGGAGACCCTATTACCCCCCTCTCTAGTCGCCGTCTCCCGAATCTCCGAATCCTCCACAATCATCAAAATCCCAATTCCCAAAAGGCCGATAACGCACTTGTAACGCCTTTGTGTTTCGAGTGTCCATGGGCGGCGCCGATTGCTTACCATCAGGTGATCCGTCTGCTCGTTTACCGGCTTACCTATGCTAAAAAAAAATCACCTGTCGACGATTTCCGGGAGCGTTCCGTTTCCATCTACTTTATTTTGGTTTAAACATGTATGAAAAACTAATCAAGTGTAGTCTGAATACATAATTAATGATTATAATTACAATTCTGACTGAGGCATGAGATCCTTGACTTACTTCTGCATTTGTACCGTCGCGTCATACCAACCACTGGTGATGCAAAAAGGTTTATTTTCGTATCAATCTTGTTTTAAATGTCTGGCAAAAATGTTACTTGTAGTGGGTATACTTTGGCTTAACTGCTTGAATGCACTGATATGTGTCTCACACAATAGAAAATACACTGTGTCTCGCGTGGGTCCACGTTTAGACACACGACGGGTTAATCTTTCAGAAAATGGGTAATTATAATTTTTAGCAGGTCTAATATCGATACTATAATATCCTAAAAATAAAATATACTTTGTCTCCAACAGGAAAAGTTAGCCACAATAGCTCTGCCGACGCCCCGTACGTTTTCGGTGCAGCTGTCCAGTGGCCACGCCGCGAGAGTGAGGCTACTCCTCCCGCCAGGGTTGAGGGAAGATGAAGTCACCAAGTATCCATTAGTATTGAAAGTGTGAGTATTAGAACCAACCAACTTTATGATCGTTCATTAACTAAAAATCGCGGGTTACTCATGTGAATATACTGAGAAAAGCTCTACTAATTTCGAACCACAGAGGGGTTTTTCCTCGTGAGCAGCGTACGCGGTCGCGGCGATGTCGCTTTTCGTCGTAGTAGTGCTTTTCTTAGTATATTCACTTGAGTAACCCGCGGTTTTTAGTTAATTTAGTTTGTCTCACGATAGTTATTATAAAAAATTTTTGATTGTTCATTTGTTTTCTTAAATGTTATCGTTTATGACGTTCGGCACTCTGATTGGCTGCTCCCAGTTAACCAACCAATCAGAGGGCTTAACGCGGTAACGTTTCGATCGCGTTTACATAAAACAAAGTACACTAGGCACACATAGACATGAGATCTGTGTCCAATAGAAAATTATAGAGAGACAAATCATTGGACATTACATATTTCACAGTTACAGTGATTGGACAAGCAGGCCTCACTCTACAATGAGCAAAAACGGAACTCTTATTGATATTCAACATTGTCGACAAGCCAATACAGTGGATCTAGTTATCTAGTAACAATAAAACGCATGAATCGTCTCCCACTAAATTACAAACTCACAAAACCAATGAACACCAAAAACATTCGAATTCTTCCACAAAGTTAAGCGTAAACGTAAAATATAACGGTACTTACATTTTATTCGATTGTTAGTCTAGTCCTGCTCGATAGACACGCCATTACAGTCATTGTTGGATAAGCAATAAGACTCGTAATAGCTTGAGGTCTAACAAATCATTTGGACAAAAGACAGAAAATATATCTGATGCTTAACATTCCTTGTGAGTAATAAGAGATATTTATGAGCAAATTTATTACTGTCATTACTTTCTTCAAACAATATTAATTTTTAGCATATTCTACTGCGGTTTTTGAGTCTGAATTTCTCGATAATTTATCATCATAACTGTTCTTAACAAAGACTTTGTGGCATTAAATGATGTTTGAAGTTTTGTTAATCTAACTTGCTAAGAACTGTATGTATAGTGTAGATACAATATGCAAGCAATCACTAATATCTCTGTCTGTACTAATATGTCTGTCCGTCTGAAAAAAAGTTTCTTGGAAACAGAATTGTTATTTGGCTAGACCAACTTTTTATTGTTCTAATTCTGAAAAAGATTAGTGCCTATACTTTCTTCAGTAATGTCTATAAAAAACTATGATTTAGGGCATTTACCCAAACAGCATATTATTCTTCTCTTGATGGATATTACGTTAATTCTCCCAGAAATATTCACAAAATTCTAATTTCCTTCTCTTTTAACAGCCACGGTGCACCAGGAACGCAGCTGGTAACAGAGCGTTGGTCATTAGACTGGGGCTCGTTGGCCGCGGGTGCTGGTGCCATACTTGCGTCTGTGGACGCGCGCGGCGCCGGCGGGAGGGGGCTCGGCGCACACCACGCGCTACATCGCCGGCTCGGCACCGTCGAGCTACAAGACCAGTTGGAGGTCGCCGAGTAAGTTATTGCGAATTTTGATGACGTATATGATTGTTGCAGTACTTTAGCCATGCCTTTAGTTTCTGCTAAGGAATAATGGTCATAGTTGTCTGCATATAAACTTATTTAAAGTTACTGGTATCTCTATACCTGATTAGGTATATTCACTACAAATAAAGTTTATACATCATCAGGGTAATCATCCTTTTATAAGTGTGGAAGAGCCATCCTTCAGCATAAATGGGCCGGCTCGACCGTGCCGTGGTAATCCCGTCCTTACAGAAAACCGACGTGAAACAACGATTGCGTTGTGTTTCATCTTATTAGCAAGGTTACCAGAGGCCCAATTACCCCGGTCCCCCCGTAAAGACCAGTAACACACTTGTAACGCCTCTGGTGTTCCAGGTAGGATAGCATAGGCGGCGCCGATTGTTTACCATCAGGTGATGCGTCTGCTTGTTTACCGGCTTATATAAAAAAATCCTACTGAACTGTCTAATAAAGTGTGTTTTTCTTAAAAAGAACAATATTGTTATTTAAAAAACCTTGAGATAGCCTTCTAAAGACAATTACTACCCCTAATCACATAGAATCTTAAACACTCATCTATGTATGTATTTATTTACCCTCGAATAGGTACACAATACCATTTAAACTCAATGTTCACTATAAATCGAGTTGTTCCAAAATAGCAACAGTCTACGTACACTAATATAAAATGTACAAGTACTTTTTTACCATCCCCAGTGGATCTCAACGTTAGTTTGGACTCCAAGGCACTTGATGTTGCTTCTCTACTGAATATTTTAGTGTCAAACAATTTTACGCAGCTGTAAAATCTTGGGGTCTCTAAAAAGGCGTTTGGAAGTTAAATTATATAACACTGTTATATCTGTTTTTCTCTAAGGACTGTAAAATTTTGGTAGCCAAATTCAGAACCCAGTATTCCATACTTAATTACATTACACAGTTTACTTGCCTACGTAACTACTCGACTAGTTTCAAAACAAGACAGGACCCATAATCATTAGTAGTATACGTTACAAATCAACCGACGCAACTATCTACCGAGTACCAATCACCTTGCTGCGTTCATTTAACATGTCAAGCAAAGTGTTATTACCCATTTTTCGAAATATTCTTAACTCGTAAATGTCCAATTATGAAAAATTCACAACATTTCTTCATACAAAAGCAGAGTCTAAACGTCGGAAATAAGGTCTATAATGGGGTAAGTGGAGAGCGGTCACCTGTGACTGCTTGAATTTTGACCAGTTGAGTGTACGGAGTTTGGTTTGGGTAGGCGCTCTACCTCCCCACCACTTATTAAGAGATTGAAAAGTGTTATGTGGGTGCAATATATTGTAATATACTACTTAACATCTATTTATATTCCCTTCTTTCTTACCAGGTACCTACGGGACTCCCTCCACTTCATAGATGCGCGTCGAGTCGCAGTATGGGGACAAGCGCATGGCGGCTTCCTCGCCGCCCTCGCGTTAGCCAGCACGCTGAATGTGTTCCATTGCGGCATCGCATTGACACCCATCGTGCGCTGGCGGTATTATGGTGAGTAATGGATGGTGAAGTGTGCGATGGTATTGTAATTTAAGTTGTTAATAACTCAAAATGGTGTGTTTTGAATGAAAGCTTTACTCTTACTAACTAGCAAAGATCTATAATATGTTTTCTAAACTTTTAATTTAACATTTGTTTTGAAATATCAAAAGTATAAATCCCTGTTTGTTCCTTGTTTCTTTGTTTCAATGAATACGACATCGATGTCCTTTTTTGCATCTGATAGTCATACACTTACTTGATAAATAACTAGGACCATGCAATTGTAACCGCAGAGAAAAAATAGTTCATTAGTACCCAAACATAGTCATCAACATTCAGTATACAATAAAAGACCTACGTTAATCGAAAAATCTCACTATTTTTACAAAGCAGTAACCACAAAATTCAGTTTAAAAAGGCCAGACAACAAAGGAACTGAAAGTAGGTAGTCACCCTGTAATCGAAGGACGATTGTAATTGGTATAAACAAAGCAATCTGCCGGGGTCTAATGGACCCTAATGTTATTTTAATGAAAGCTGCATGACTGACTATTACGCAACCTACTTGAATTTTGTTAAGGACAGTACACATAGACATGAGATAACGCGCGTAAGTTTTTCAAATTAAATGATTACAGCGCCTCGCACATTTTCTTGTAAGCGAAGCAAATTCTAGCATACATGCGTGTATCTCCACATCAAATGGCTGTAACAGTCTACTACTTGACTATAGGGACTATATCTCCAAAAGTATGGCCACAATCACAATGTTATGCAGATTTATGTTAAAAATCGCAGTTTAAAATCACCTGTCATAATGTTTCTTATTCAGCTGCCATGTTACCCTCGGGAAGAATATAGTGATAAATGTAATGTAATAATAGTGACAAATGTATTTAACCCAGTACCGTCAGTAGAAGGCCTTAAAGAGCCATCAGACCACCACGGATGGGGCCCAATAGGGCTGATGAGGATTTGGAGCTGCGGAGAACCTAACGGGTTACCGGGGTCCGGCTCGAAGTGCAGGAGTAGGAACGGGGTGGTTTTTAGTCAGTAAGAGTCTGGCACTCCTTTCTGCCTCACCCAGGCAGGAGAAGACATTCGATGATTTTTCCCTCTTAAAAAAAAAATGTTATCCTCGGGAAGAATGACAAAGAAAGTGACAAATATATTTTACACAGTACCGTCATCAGGCGGCTTACCATACACGTTTCTATCTATCACTATAAAATATCTTTTCAAAGTCGCCGCGTCACGTCGCGCCTGTGTGAACGCGCCTTAATCCTTTATTTTGAATTGAACGGGGGTTGGTTAATCTTGGGTGATTAAATGCCTAAATGTGGTCTTTGCTTTGGAATTATTTTAGAAACATTGTTACAAATAATGATGAAGCTTTTATTCGTGTACTTATAAGGGGTTAAGGAATTATTTTGAGAGCTACGTGTGGCTTTGATAATATCGCGTTAGAAGACTTAGGAATAAGGTTTAATTTCGAAATTAACTGTATATTATTATGGGTTGTACAAAATTTCAATATAAACTCAATGCAAAGCTATTTTTTGAAATACAAGTTTCAGTTCAGTCTCTTTTGTCCTTATTTCTGTATTTACAAAATTGAAACTTTCCATTTAAAAGTTGATCTCAAATAAATACTTTCTTTGTAGCATTAAAATGTCAACAAAAGATATTTTCTTCAGTCAGCAATTTTGTTTTTAGCTACGAATTAAAATAATAACTCTCTTTCTCTCAATTCTTAATTGAAAACGTCCTTTTTAGGGGTCAAAAACTGTATTATTTTCACTGAAAAGAAAATCAAAGTTTCCTTTTAAAACAATGCTTGGTTAATGTCGAAATTATCTAAAAGCTAAAACAAAAGAAGTCCTGTTTAATTGTCTACAAACTAAGTTTTCCATTTAAAGGTACCTACTGTTAATCTGACAGAGGTTTTCATTAAAATCCCTTTTAAAACCATAACTTTTTGAAATAATAATAATAGAATAAGTACAATGTTTAGTCAAAATTGTTTGTTTATTTTTAGGTACTCATGAAGTGTTTTGATTCCTTTGAATAGCTTTAATAGTAATATTAGCTGCATATTTGGTATTGGTTGGAAATTCATTTATCCGAAATAAGAAAGAGGAATATCGATGGATCGCAGTTAGACCTCTGATTTAGAGGATGCATACCTGAGTATAATAAAGAGATTATATAGATTGAATACTTTTGTGTACCAGGAATACATAATATTCTAGGCGGCTTTTAAACCTACTTCAATGCCTTGTTGTTGCACTACAATAGTAAGAATAGTCTTGTAGGAAGTTATATCCCATTTTAATTAACAATAAAAAAATCTTGTTACGCAGCCTCTGCATACGCGGAACGCTACATGGGCTTTCCCAACGCAACGGGCAACTACCGAGGGTACGCAGACGCTGACGTCACGAAGCAAGCAGCAGCGCTTCATGACAAGATGCTGCTCCTGGTACATGGGACCGCAGACAATAATGTACATGTGCAGCAGAGCATGGCGCTCGCGAGAGCTCTGGCCGACCAGGGAAGCATGTTTAGACAGCAGGTAAGAAAATAATAAGTATAGAGTTTCAGAAAGGAAAAAAGGAACAGTACTAATTTATGAAGATACGTAGTTCGTAAATTTTATGTTCGTAGCCAATAACTTGGGGTAACTTTAACTTTTTATCTCATTAACTTACCTTACCGAAACTGTGTTAGGCTTCTTCTACAGTATGGTACAGTAACACATGCACACAAAACAAAAAAAACTTCTAGATATAATTTCATCTTCAATACACGACAAACTTGAGAACCAACTCAATTTCTCCCACAGATTTACCCTGATGAAGGCCACAGCTTGGAAGGTGTAAAGCGTCACCTTTACCGCACAATGTCCGCCTTCCTCGACGACTGCTTCAGGAAGCAGGTCCCTCCCGAGACCAAGGCGGGATTGAGAAACGGAGGGAATCTAGACTGAGACACGTGGAGGGACGAGGAGTTGTGCTCTTGGTGAGATGTGTGTAATTGTGACGTTATTACAGGCTTTGTGTGAAGCTTTGAGCCAGTTTCTGAGAATATCGACACTGCTAATGGTAATGGTCGCTTGTACGATATGCTATTAGACGGTATAAATTTACAGTGATTGGACAAGGGCCGATTTTTCAATGCTCAGTTAAATTTTATCAGAGGAATAACTTTGAATGTTTGACAATTCTTCCATACTAATAACAGTCAGATGTCAATTTTATTCTACAGTTAAGAATTAACAAACGATCGAAAAATTGACCCTTAATACTTTAGTAACGCCATCTACTGGGCAAAAATGAGTGCTCTAATTAAATTATGCTTCTTTGAATGGTCAAACGATTGCTTTCTACTCTTATAATCGATTCATGAAGTCAAAAAGTTGTAGGAGTTATTTCTTCAAGTTTATTAAAAAAATTAAAACGATAATTGGCCCGAGTTAGATAGAGTAAAAGAATTATAAATATTCCAAACGATTGGTTCAACTTCTGAAAATAACCAATGTGCGAGGGTAAAGTTATTTTTACAAAAGAAAATATTACACAACACAATAAAAATACAAGTAATACCCAACCTAAGTCACAATTAAAATCATCAATAATTCCTTACCAAGACTTAACTGGACAATACAACGTGTAGCTAGTATTGTAGGTACCAGGAATACATAACTTACTAGGTGGACGGTAGACCCGCATCAATGCCTTGCGGTTGCCACACAATAGCAAGATATATGTACTATTCTCATACATCTTGCAACTGCGGCTCGATGTAATCCGGTCGTCGTGTACCTAATCCATGCTACGTCCAACCGTTTGTTAGCTGATTCTTGTAATTGATGGTAGAATATTTAATATTCAACTTTTTGTTTTACAATTAGATCGTATTTTTTCGCAATTGGCAACATATATCTGAAAAGTGTAGGTATATTTTGCAAAATAACATTTTAATTTTGTACTCTCTAGTTGGTCTTACTCCTCTTCTGCTACACAGTTATTAGTAGGTTAAGTTAGTCAAGTTGTTTTCATCTCATTGCTGACAAATTATGTTCGGTAAACAAATTCTTGCAATGTTCGCAGATCTAACCTAAGCGTTTAATAAACTTGAAATGTATTTAATAATTTTTATATTCTACACCCAGCTCACCAATACGGGTTGAGGACAACTCCGAGCCAGAAGACTCCGACGAGAGGTAAGTGAGACTAATATAGACTTCTTTACAATAACCAATCATGACAAAGATAAGGGCTGCCCAAAGAAAGCATTTTAGGACCAGTTTTGTACATTAGATAAAATCATTTTTCAAACTTGGTTTGATTTCATTCATTCACATAACAAATCTCATTGGTTACATTTTTAAACCAAAATATTTAGAAAAATGTAAAACATCAAAATAATAGTACTTTCATTAACATAATTGTAAATCTTTCCAGGTAATATATAACCAAACGAGGATTACACAAGAAGAGAGAGTGTAGTGATAAATCAAATAACCCGTAGTACAATTAATTCCATATCCAACGCGTCAACAACTGCCATCTTCATACATATAGAGAGTTATTAAAACAAATGAACGTACAAGGATTCCTTTATCTAATGACGGTACCACACAAGTGCGCGCTTTTTTGTTCACATTGTATGGCACGGATATTTGCTGTCATTAGGTCTGTGCGACATGATGTGAGCAAGCAAGTACGCACAAGTTTGGCGCCAGCATAATACAGGAACAACAAAGGAACATCACTAAGCTAAAGAAAGGATTAGGGTATTATTTCAAAGAAACATTGTAGACGGCTTAGCCGACTCAATCTGTAAGGGATCTGAAGAAAAGAATATTGATACAAATCTAGAAAATTCAAAAGAAAAACTGATGTCTTTGAGGGAGTTTTTAATGCTATGCACTAACGAAGGCATTGAATAATGAATGGCATTGTTGAAATAATGAAATATTTTTTATAGTGGAGAATTCATTAACTAATGATTTCATTACTTGACTCTTAATTTATTACATTTCAAAGCATGTGTTTTCAAGACGAATAAATCGTTAAAAAGCTTTTTTATGATCTAGTCATTAACGTACGCGTTTGAAATTTAATGAAAGCAAAATACAGTCAAAGAAAGTAAAGCTCTTAAAGGAATCCTAGCTACGTTCATAATAATGTTAAAGTATTGGAACACTATTAAGATTCCGTCGTATTATTATAGTTGCGTATTATTTCGTTAGGTAAAGTTGGCGTAAAGAAAGGTTTCAGCGTGTTTGAGTATTGTACATGTCTTGCTATAAAACAATAAATATTATTGATGAATAATGAATTGGTTAGGTTTTGATTGGATGAAGAAAGTGCACGCACACTTTCTAAATTAATAATGAGTTATGTGGATTAATAATACGCCACTATAATAATTTGGCGGAACCATAGCAGATAGTTATGAAACGCAAAATATCTCATTACCTATATTAAAAATCATAATTAGTGCTAATTTTTAACCTCAAAAGAAAAGTAACGCCAACTATATGTAAGTAAAGAAACGATATTTACAGCCGTAATTTTTACACAAACACATATCGGTAAAAGTCAAAGATTCCTTATTATTATTCCTAATCAAAATAATTCAAACGGAAAAAGACCTATTCGGAAATAATAATAAATTAATAATACTATTTTTAAACGTTCACTTTTATTGTTGCTGCCTTATTTCCCGCACAAACACGTGATTCTTCCATTGTCCTCTGTGCATGTATAATAATCGCGTCTTCTCAACATTTAGCTTAAAAACGCAATATTTCATCTAGTGAATAATAAAGGAATTGATAAATAGTTCTTTAGTCAATCAGTTTGTGATCTAGTAGTTAAATTGTTATAACTAGTGGTACCTTTTCATGGACTCATCGTCATGTACGCTCGAGGACTAACTCCTTGTTGAATTTAGAGTTTTCGTTGTTCGATAATAACTTTAATGTCGGACTTACTTGTGATTCCATGGTCTGGATAAATAGCAGGAATATGTTGAAACAACAAAGTACAGACACCACTCGTATTATTATTTCAAAAAACTTTTTTGTCGAAATTAAAAGTGCACAAATATTTTTTGAAATTAATAATACGCCAATACGGTGCAACGTGTACTTTTGAAACAAATATCAGAATTTACGTATGTCCCTCTTTATGTGAATAAAATATATTTGATATTCAGAAACATCGGTCCATATTCCTACTATTACTATATCTAGGCCAAGGCCTGAATCGAGACACTCAAGTCCGCATGAATCATACTTAAAGCCATCGCAATATTTTGCGATGAGTAATTTTAATTCATTAATTTGTATCGCATACGATGATGGTAAAGTGTAATTTCTAAATGACAAATAATTGTACAGATATTATTATAATATTTCCCATTTAGATTATAATAATACGCTTCTCTGCGTATTTTATTAAGCATAAGAAAGACTAATACTAAAACATTAAGACTTGAAGTCGCGTTGAACTAAATGATTAGTGTTTTCTTATGATTAACAAAATACGTACCTATTTAAAAAAATATCCAAACATTTGATCTTTAAGTATAAAATTGCTCACTCTCATCAAGTTTTGCATGTATGCATTCTAGTCACTTCATTTATAGTATAAACAGAATTTAATAATAAATTTTATTAAAGACCAATAGTACGTTAAAAATATTTTATTAAAGAAAATTAAAAAGTTTTAAAAACTAATTAGTGAAGATTTTGATGAACTAGTAAGATTTAGCGCATTAGTTACTTAGAGAAGTTTGAAATTTAAAAAAGTTTTATTGAAATGTAACTAATATAGCAATAATTTAATAGATTAAATACCTCCTTTATAAGTAAGCACTCTTCCGATAAAGCACTTGTAATAAAAGGATTTTTGAAGCGTTAAAATTATGAAATATTCTTCGAAAACGAATAGTTAGTGTACTTGCAGACAGCTAGATTTTAGGATTTTGTGACGTATTGTAGCGGATAAAGTCCCTCTTTACTGTAGTATAATAAAAGGGACGGACTTCCTCGTTCGACTTTAATATTCAGAAAATGAAACGAGCGGTCGGTACCTCTGCAAAATCTCATAAGAACCCATCTGTGTGCAAGCACTCTAAATCCGCAACGCAGAAAAACATTTTTCACGTGTCGTATTATTAGAGATATAATACAAAAAAACTACGACACTAGAAAAATGTTCTCTAATGTAGGTTGAAATGTTCCAAATAAAAGAGTGAAAAACTCGAAAAAAGATTGTTCAAAAGAATAAAAGGAAAAGACCTAAGTGCCAAAAGCGTCGTTTTATCTCGTACGTTTTCTGTAAGTAATTATTGTAAGTACATTAGGCTCATAAAGAAAATTCGATTACATTCTCATGTTTTTTCGTCATTAGAAGTAATGTTACGGTCCACTACGCCGACAACGCGCGACGAAAAATAAATAATAATACGAAAACCAGATTATTTTTTTATGAAATAAATCGTAAACTGTTTGTGACTGTTAGTCTTCATGTTAAGTAGTATCTATTTATGATTATTTATTTTAATTTTATTGGCAATTTTTCGTACTTAAGTTTTTTAGGTTAGATAATATGTAAATCTTGTTCATTGATTGTTCATTTAGTTTGTAACTACAGTTCGTATCAATCTCATTAGCTACACTGTAAAAGAAATAGAAAACTCCGATGCTAATTAGTAATTTTTTACTAAAATTTTTCTTTCCAATAAACCTTCAAGAGCGACTATGTCATCTATAGCTTTATATTAGAACAGTTGTAATCAGCAGCTGTAGCCAAATGCCGTTTAGCGCTTGTCTACTTGTAGAGTAGAAAACTAAATTCTATGGGATTGACGTAAATTTTAACACTTGTCAGAGTCTTCCCCATACATTTAGATTTCTACTCTCTCTATAGCCAAGCACTAAAGTGGAGTTTGGCTAAAGGCACAGGCCTAGAGAGATTGATATGAATATACCTACAGACTCAGCACGTTGAACGGCCACTATTTATTCATTTTTGATTTTATCACAAAAAGATATGATTGAAAATCGTATAAATGAATGGTGTAGGTTGATGTGCTAGTGTCTGCACTAATTAAGAAGAGTATTATTTTGTTTGTGTGTGTATAAGTTGGGTGTAAAAATGTAAAAGGTCGGTACAAGCACGTTCGAGTAAACACAAATATAAAAACGCACAGATTGTGATTTTTGCCTTATCGATGTTCTCGCTGTTAAAATATTTCTTTTGTTTTTTGTAAGCAACCAATTTGTCTGTATTGATAAAATGTTATTTGGTCCAAGTAACATAACATAACATCACGCCTTTTATCCCCGAAGGGGCAGGCAGAGGTGCACATTATGCCACTGTACAATGTAACACCCACTTTTCGCTATTTATGTTACGAGTTCCATGTAATGGGGGTGAGCCTATTGCCATATACCGGGCACAATTCCAGACTCCGTGCTACTACTGAGAATTTTTTTAAAACCCAATAATACTTTGCCCGACCCGGGAATCGAACTCGAGACCCCTTGCCCGGCAGTCGCACTTGCGACCATTCGGCCAACGAGCAGCAGGCAGAGAGCAATTACACAAAGTCTGCCATTTAAAATACGACTTAAATAAACATAATCTACTAATCAACTAATTTTCATTCGTTCGTTAATTACTTTGGTGGTACCTTCAAAACTATAAACACGTGAACCGAAATGTGATGCATACTTAAAAATTAAAAGAAGAAGCTTAGACTGAAAAAAGTTAAGTAACTTTTTAAGATGCAGTCCGAAGTATCCATCTAAAGAGTTCGTAGTTTTTTTACTCTGTGCTTCACGAGTTTCATAATAAAATTCATAAGACCAAAAAATTCAATCTACAGTCAACTGTCACATGCATTTCAAACTTGGAACGTTAATACAAACCACAGATAATATTTAGCAATACAGATAAATAAAAGGCAATGGTGCAATCGCTTTGTGATTACAATATAATAACTTTAAAAAATAGTTTTAAGCTGTTCTTATGGCAGCAAGAGCGTTGGTTGTTAAATGTAGTTATTTTTCAAAGCATTATAGTGCACCCACCAGCACATGGAACTACCCCATTACTTTATTCGATTTTCAATTACAATATGATGGTTGTAAAGCTGTAAATCCTATAACAGTATGGGGTATCTCAATGTGCAGGCGTGTGTTTTAATTAGAAATAATCGAAATATAAACGCTATATTTTTATTGAAATAATTCTACATTTATATCTGATTCTAATACTTAGCTCTGTGGTGGGTAGCATAATGTTAAAGAAAGAAGAAAAATATTAAAACATTTTCCGACAAAAACTGACCAAAGAAAGTGGCGCCACTCTGACGTAACCACAGGTAGTGGTGGGTCAAAATCAACCTGCATTGAGCGCGTGCAATGCAATATAAGTGTGGAAGAGTCATGCTTCGGCACGAATGGGCCGGCTCGACCGATGATACCACAAAACATATAAAATGTTCTGTGGATGATACCATGGCCTCACAACGATGTAAAACAACGCTTGCGTTGTGTATCGTCGTATGAGTGAGGTTGCCAGAGGCCGAATTACCCCCATTTCCCAATCTCCCCAATTCCCAACAATCTACAAATCCCCAAATGGCCGGTAATGTAACGCCTCTGGTTTTCCAGGTGTCCATAGGCGATGCCGATTGCTTACCATCAGGTGATCCGTCTATTGATTTACCGGCTCAGTAAAAAAAATCCTCAAATCTGTGCGAGAAGAAGCCTTTGGTCAGCAGTGGCCACTAGATATCGATAATATAAGCCTTTCTTTAACATTAAACGCTAGAACACCATTCTAAATACAATATCGACTTTAAATAAATTCTTCGCATAATTTTCGCTTCAACTGATAGAAACTTCGATGCCAAAATATGTTCTTAGTGATTTAGCAGTATTGAATATTTTATTATTTAATATTATTATAGTTCTACAGTACTGTTGCTTGATCAGATCAACAAAGTATTATTAGCTAAATAATATTACCTATTATTGTATTATATCGTTAATTATTGTGGTGTTTCAGTCAGTGGAATAAAGAAACACATGTACCTACCTAAGATATCGTTTTAGGAGATCTTTCTATCATTTTAGGAAGGCTGCAGTTTTTATATGAACTAGTTTCTGCCCACGACTTCGTACGCGCAATCCCGTTTTCTCCCGTTCCCGTAGGATTTTCAGGGTTTTTTCTGTCTTATAACCTTCTCCTGGTATAACGAATATAACAAAAAAGAATTAGTGAAATCGGTACAGCCATTGACGCGTGATGCCATGACCAAAGGAAAAGGGATTCATTTTTATTTATATAGATAGGTACAACGAAATAGGTACTCGAGAGTTCTGAAGAGCAATCGGATAATTTGATGAATTTGAAGTATTTATACGTAAGAAATGAGTGAAACTGTGTGTCAGTTAACAAGAATTGAATCGAACATTTCGAAGCACTTGTTAACAAGATTCTGCCTAGTAGCTCTAGGAATATAAGTATTCATAATATACTTATTGGTAGTTATAATTAAACTTGATTTTTTACCTAACAAAGTCAATACTAATCATATCTTTAACAACATAACATAACATCTGACCTTTTATCCCCGAAGGGGTAGGCAGAGGTGCACATTACGGCACTTAAATTCCACTGTACAATGTAACACCCACTTTTCACTATTTATGCTATGAGTCCCATTTACTAAGGGGTTAGCTTATTGCCATATACCGGACACGATTCCAGACTCCGTACTACTAGATACTGAGAAGTTAAAAAAAAACCAGTAGATACCTAATACTTTGCCCGACCCAGGAATCGAACCAGAGACCTCTTGCCCGGCAGTCGCACTTACGAACACTCGGCCAACGAGGCAGTCATGACTTTGAATACCTACATTTAAGTAATAAGGTAGGTAAATACATTAAGTACCTAATTCTACATTTCTATAACCGAAAGGACATAAGTTAAATCCCCTTCGTTGATTTGTTATCTCTTGCGGAAATATTGACTTTTTGTACAAGGACTTCATAAAACGATAAAGAATTGAATAAAAATGATAATTAGTGAACATCTTTCAGTATTAAACTCTTTTTTACAGAACACATCAAGATAATCAACCTGTCCTATGGAATTTGCACTTTAAATCTGTAGGTTGAAAGTTGAAATTACAATATCACAATTTGCAGATCCAGATAGTATTAGATATTAGCCTTTTGAATATGGGTAGGTGAGTAGGTACTGTGGACAGCAGATCTGCAGATCAACCCAAATGTGTAATATTTTTATTAGAATTTCTGCTTTACATCGAAACAATAAAGTTGTAATTCCAATAAAACAATTGGCAGTTAAAGAGATCTTGATAAGCTTTTGTCTGTAAATGTGTCGAATTCATTCAACAATTTCAACCCTTTGGAATAAGAAATAAAGAATGGGAATTATATGTTAATTAGCTACAGGTACGGAATAAATTTCAGTTCATTTCGTTTTCGTTTTCCGATGTTACGAATTTTCAACCCCTTTTTTGATGTTAAAATGTTATTTTAATGAAATTAATGAATCGAGTATTTTTAACGTTTTTTTTAGTAAG